TTAGTAGTTCAAAGTTGTTGTTTTTGGCACGCACGTACACTCATATCCATCCATTTTTAAATATGTATCAACATTTCTGAACGGATTTTGATTAGGCCACATAGTTATTGGAAATTTAAAAATCAACTGCTTCGTCTAACCCATAGTGAACAACATTCGTTTCTTTCAGCCCATGACACGACACGATGGCACAGAGATATTTTCTTTGGATGTCATTGCTTATTTGGATGTCATTGCTTAAACAGTGAGATCAGCGAGTTTTCCTTTCTTGAGAATGGAAATGCCGAGATTGACGCACCAACTTATAATTTGTGAACTGTATTTGACCGAGTCATTCAGTCATTGAACGTTTAAAAATAAGGTGTTTTCTATTGCATATGGTTGTTTTCGAGCACTCACAAGGTTACGAAGAACTAGTGAAGCTACAACAGCACAAATGTTCTCCAATACGCACACTTTCTCGCGTATATCTCGTTAATGGTTATGCAATATTAAAACGTGATAATTTCTGTCTTACACTTCAGCTACCATTTGAAAAATTCTTAACCAACGAAGCGCGAAAAATGCATACATGTTTTAAAAATTCAAACGTTTAAAAGAAATCAGCTTTCTGCCATTGAATTCAGTGTATTCGTGTTCGACATAAATGTACCAACGAAGCGTATATAAGTCGTAAATAAAAGTATTAGTTTATAATAATGTGAACCAGCGGCGGCTGTCACTACCGCCTTCTGTTTCCGGTGCGGCATTGGAAAAAAACAATGGCCGCTGGATTCGTATGGCGTACAAATTTTGAAAATCAGCATTCTTGATACTGCTAGCAACAAAATTCAAATGGATAGAAAAATATAGTAAATAAATAAAATATTGTTATCTTCATGAAAATTACTGCTTTTTAAATGAATTACTCATTCCCGCCCTTTTAGATTCTAAAGTGAAATGGTCCATTATTTTCACATTTAACTGTGTTAAATTTGACGCAATCACATTTGACGCAATTTAAAATAGATTAAGTACATACAAATATTAAACGTAATCTTTCTTTTCAAAATTCGATTCAGCAACGATTGTGAATGAAATTAGAGCTGAATAGCGTGTCAACATAATGTATAAGAACAATATCGTAATAAAATTCAAGTGGATACGTTTGATCGTCCTTTATTTATATCATTATATAGAGAAATGTGTCTTTTATTATTAACGAGAAGCAGTCAATAACTATTAAGTTAATATAAGGGACTAATTGATATATCTTGAACATTTTTTATTCTTAAAGAACACACTTTATGCGGCGTTTGTGGAGTTTGATTTTTACTCCCATCTGTAACATTAATAAAGAAAATAAAACTACTCCATGGAAATCCTGCTTCTACAAAGTACAAAATAGAACATTATGCAAAAATATAATTCTTTTAAAGCAAATATCAACATAAATCCGACAATTAAAACGGTGTTTCTAACAACTGTACCATGTCTCAATAATGAGAAGGAATTCTCCAAATATCCAACAGTCTTCAAGCACATCTCAAGTTACATGAGTTACATTGTCAAGTCATGAGCCAGTGCCTCAAACGAAGCGCGGGGAATTCGATTTTACAATTTCGATTTTTTTATTTTATTCAATTTTCGTAAATACAGAGTGCGACGAATACGGAAATAGTACCACTTTTTTACCGTTATTTGCTACATATTTGCAAAACCTTTAAAGAAAATGTTGGAGCCGTTCCTGAGAAAATAATTGTTTAAAAGTGTGTATTAAAAATAGATCTTAAAATAAGGTGATTCAATTTTTAGAAAATGAGAGTGTATTTTGTGTAACAAAATTAAATGGCTACTGCGATTTTACTGCGCTTCCTGAACGATTTCACACACATGGATGCTTCGTAAGTCAGAATTTGTATATTCGTTAATATTGCTTTGTTCGTTTTTTACATCCGACCTTTAATGAAGATAAATACATTTACGCGTTAATCATTTAGAAATTATTTAATACCTATGTGAAATACTGCTAGTTTTCAGGGAATATCAAATTGGAATGATACAATGACTCGGGAGCTCATTTTTGTGAATTCGGTCTATTGTTGGGTCATAATTTACCTGTATGAATAGCTATTATAATTGTCAAATATGTGTTGAAAGTTGCTGGAGTATATTAAGTTTTTGCACGAAAGGTTGTACGATTTGTAATGAGCAAGGTTGGGCAGTATTTAAATACTTGAATTTTGAATATATATTTTAAATACATTGCCATATTCATCCACTTGAATGACTCTTCTTTGCAGGTTTTTGTACATTCGCCAACTTCGAGTTTATTGTCTGATGATTTGTTTGAAAAATCAGTCGGTTTATAAGGAAATTTCATTTCTTTGTGTTAGACATATTTTTGATATTATTATATTAAGCCATAGTTAGCTCGAAGGCAGACGTTCGCGCGTTTTTTAGAGGATCGGGACGGAAACACGCGAATCGGCAACACCGTACGCGTAGCGCGCTTTATTCAAAGCGAGAGACAAGTTCTTAATGACTTCTTACACTTTCCTCGGTGTACTGGAAGCAATGGAAAGATCCTTTTTTTTTCTGAAAATCTTAGCTAAAATTCAATGGATATAAAAAAAATATTTTGCTGGGTAGACGTTAGAATGTAGAAGTTTTGAATTTTTTCAACATTAAAAAAATCAGGTTTTTAACGAAAATGATAATTGCATCATTTGCATAAATGTCCTTCATACTATCGAACAACAAAATGTTGAAGCTGTTTTTTAAATGTCCTAGGGACTTAATATAAAGGAAAAGGAATGGCTAAAATTTCAAATGATTAAACATTCATTCATTTTTGTAATTTATTTTAAAAAATTGTATTACATAACTAGTACAAAACGTATTACATAACTTTTACTAAAGGCGAAAAAGTTCGTGCTGTTTTAGCACCACTAGTTTTTCTCTACAGTTAATACACATTAAAAACTGAACCATTTCTTGTATGTTGTATGCTTGTTGTATGTTGTTGCTTGTTTCATGTTTAAACTATGTTCTACTAGTATGTGTTTTGTATTGTTCATATTCAATGTACGCAGTTGTTTCTTTTAAAATTAAAAAATATGAATACATATACAGTGTAAAGTTGATACCAGACTTGCAATAGTATTATTTCAACATGGTGTACAGGGCAATACTTGTATCTTTAACCCTAGATTACAAAGGTGATCTCTACCAAGCGTTTTTACAAAGGCGTAGTCTCTCAGACTACTTTGGGTAAAAATGAAGAAAAACTCATTTTTACAATGAAACACTAAATTTAGTGAATTGAACATGTATGTTATGGAACTATAAAATACATTTTAAAGGTGTTTATAGATACACATAAATGACTTGACTCTCGCAACAAATACTTGCTTGGTGCCTTTTGAGAAGCGTCCGCAGTAGCACCTCGTCTTGCGACTTTTGTTATGATCGCCGTCCTTCCATTATGATTGCTAAATGTTCAGAACACAACTTAAATGCTACAAGACAAGGTATTCATTATTTATTTTCGTATTCATTATTCACAATATGGGGCAATATAGCGCCAATAAAACTGACGTAATTACAAAGACGTATTCTACTGGAGGATGTGTGTTGGCGTACATCGGAAATTGCATACGCTGGAAATACACACAAGGATACGTGTAAATCACTGGCTAGTCACACAATGAAGGACAGACGACGCCTTTGTAATCTAGGGTCAAGGCTGTTGAGAACTTATTAATTTAGATTGGTTTCTAAATCAGTTTTGTCACTGTTCCTATTAAAATATGCTGTATTATATCATACAATAATTTAACACGATGAAGGTAAATAAAAAGAAAATAATTATGTGAGGTGCGAACACACGAGTTTATACAGAACATGAATTACGTACTTCTCTTCTAAAATTCCATTTATGCATTCTTCAAGAAAAATGTTGGGGAAATTTACCCGTCTCATGTGCGTGAAAGAGATTTTAAAAGAAAAAAATTGAATTTGGCATATTAGTTTCCACAAAATCAGCTGACACAATTCAAAACTCGCGCTCTGCTACAATTCGGGGAGGAAGCATTACGTGCCCTTAAATTATTCTGTTAATTGATAATAGAGTAATAATACCATTCCTGTTGGTATGTAGTGTGTTCAAAAAACATAGTTTTCTTTCTATTAGAATAATCATAACTAAAGGAAGACTGATTACTTTTAACATTGAAGTCCAGGGATTATGTAACTCATACATCAAAACAAACATATTCGAATTCACAAGTATTTGTCATCGAAAGTTTGGGGCACGAGTGTAGTAATCGGGGATTCAATTTGTCACAAAATTAAAAATTCTATACACTTCTACTTTTCAGTCAATTCACACATTTCATCTACACATTTTTGCAAGAAATTCATTTACTACCTAAGGGCCTACCGCGAAACTCCGAAGATACGCTCACTATAGGTTAAGAATCCCTGGCTAAAAGAGTATTCACTGAGATATTACACAAAGCAGCGTCAAATAATATTTTTGCAACACACACACATTATGTGTGTGTTTGTGTTGTTTGAATTACTTATCAAGTTTAGACGTGTATCCTTAAAATTAAAACGTAATTTGCAACATATCCCAAAAAATATATTTCCCATGTCCCAATTTGACACTTTTACACGCCCCTGGCAGTTTTTACTACACACTCTCCTACTTTCCTAAACTGTACAGCCAAACTACCCTGTTTGGGGTGAATTTAGACCATGGCTTTGCACCATCCACCACTTCACCACTTTAATAAATGTTCTGACTAATCGACAGAATCGACCAACGGTTAAACCAACTGAAAAGACAAACGTCAGTATTTAATTTAAATAACATTTATTTAAGTGGCACACGGTGCAAAGTTACCATTCATGCTCTAAAATCACCCCGAATGCCTTTACGTAAATACGTTCACCAAATAAGGGCATTCGGTACATCATATGTTTTGAGCATTCTTGCTCATGGAATGTCTTACCTGCAAAGCAGATCCAGTCTTCGCTAGCGCGAGTGCGACGCAGACCAAGAATCAAGACAAAGCTACCAACCGCACCCGCGTAGGACCTCAACAATACGCATCGTGCACAGTCTGGAAAAAGGCAAATAAGAGGACAAAATTAAACTTACGGATTCTTTATATAATCCTCTACTTTAATTCTATGATTCAAAATAAATATTCGATTACGAGGTAACGAATTCTCATACGACTTTCTTTTATGGATTTTCTTTTGTAAAACTTCATAATAAAATCGGATTTAGATATGTTGATAATATTCTAGTTAATGCCCTCGATTCCAAGAGTGCTCGGAAGTCTATACATTAAAGACGTTTTGTTATCATTTTTTAAAAATCTTGTTAGGTTTGGAATATTTTTTATTCTCCTAATTGAAGTGGAAAGTAATGTCTGTGATGAACATTTATTACTCTGTGTTAAAAGGAATTTTTTTCCGAAGTGGAAATATGTGTACTTGAATGATTTTTGCATCCTGAATTCAAATTTGTGGTTGAAAATGGCATAACACGAATAGTTTTACAGTCTCAAAATCCTTCCGCCGTAGTTTATTATTAGGTTTCTGGTAAAGTTGGCAACATTGGTTTTGTGCTAAAAATTCTATTATTGGGACATTGTGTTTCGTATCGGCAACCATTGCGTACGTTATATTCCTTTTTAAATATTATCTTGCCTTTGCAAGAATTCTAACTTACTGTAGGCTCATCTATAAATTTTAGTTAAAAGATATAAAATCTCCATTTCTCATAAAATGCCCCGCCATATATTTCGAAATGAAACAAACTATTTCTGCTGTGTTTGCGGAGAATTTACTTTCACTAGGAATAGGAAGAAGAAATCTATTGAACGGAGAGACTATAAACACTACTTGAGTTGAGAGATAGGGGATAAGAAAAAGACACGGCCTCATTATATTTGTTGTTCCACTTATGTGAAATTAATTAACTGCGGATGGGGGAAGGTATTTTTATGTCGTTTCTCAGTGCCTATGATATAGAGAGAGCCCAAGGAACAGCTTACCAATTGCTATTTATCTAGCTAACATGTACCTAGGGTTTCACTAACCGCAAATCAAATAATCCCATTGAGTATCTACATTTGCCGTCAGCAATGAGGTCAGTCCCTCATTATAAGAAACTTCCAGTACCATAATCACCCTATCAGAATGCGGAAGATGAGACTGACAAACTTTTAGTTCGTGAGAGTAGTGATTCTCGGAAAGAAGATTCAACCCCACAGCTTGCAAAACAGGCAAAACTAAATGACCTAGTTCGTGATCTGGGCTTAAACAAGAGAAAATCAGAGTGGGAGGGCTCTAGACCTCAGGAATGGAACCTTCATATTGCTGGAAGTGTTACTGAGTGTAGAAATGGGAGAGTGAAGTTTGTGAGTTATTTTTCATGTGATGGAAAATTAATTTCCTGCAATGATTTGTGTATATTTTGATGGGGGCATTGAGATTGTTTTGATCCAAATCAGTAGAGGTTGCTTATATACTTTTTATTATTATATTTCAACAAATAAAAATTGAAAGTTTAAGCTTGAAAACGTTCATGGAAATATATTTTAAATAATAGTTGTAAGGAAAATATTTTGTGATCAAATAATACAATTTTCACACTGCGCGTAAATTGCTAAAACCATTGTGTTTAGTTGGTGTTTAATAAAATAAATTGTTGTTAAATACTAGAAATAATAAAAATGAATTTAAGTCAACCTATGTCAATGTTAGGGCTAATTCATTACATACATTTTTCCATTGTGCGATTTTCTAGAGTTCTAATTTCTTTTTTGAAATTTTTACAATTTTGCCCTTTGTTCCAACCATCGGGCCCCTTGACTCACGGAGCCTCGGTCTGCCCATGCCTAGCACCAGCACTGCAGACAGCTGGGGCTGTATCAGACGAAAGGGGAAAGATTCCATAAAGAAATAGCAACCGTGAAAAAACAGTATCAGGGGAAGTAGATGCAAAGAATGTTTTGTTGGCATAGAGTAAGGTTCTACAGTTCTGATACCCATAGAAGACAAAAGTTTTGACTGTTTGTACTATTTCGTCATGTTCAGTATATTTTGGAATTAGTTACAAAATTCCTGTAATTTTTTTTCTACTATATCTTCTTGTGTCTATGCAATGATAAAATATTGAAGTTATTAGTACTATTGTCATGATACTATTGGAATTAAACACATATCTTAATCATTACTATATCTAACCCCTAATAATGTAATTAAAAGTTAGTACAAATTCACACAGTAAAAACAAAATAACTCAAAACTGATAGGAAAAATCCCCACATAGTCTGAATTCAGCTTAAAAATGGCAATCAGAATCACTTGTATCCAGATAAAAGAAAAAATTGAAACACAGTGTTATGGATAGTGTAAAACTTCATTTTGAAATATATTACGAAATATTTATTATGTATGAATTGTATTATCAGAAAGCAAATAATGATATTCTAAATTACAATATTTTTAAAACTTTAGCATTTGGTCATGTATAAAAGAGTACAGAGAAATCATGTGACCTATCCTTTGTATTTCAATTGAAATATTTCATAAAATAATAATCTTCGTTCATTTAAAGAGAAAACTCAGATAAATTACTAATAAATTCAAAGTTACGTTATAATAAATTCAACTTGGCTAAAATGTTTAAGTATATAGCATTTTGCATTAACGTCATCCTAATGTAAACTGTAGAAGCGCACACTGTAATGCATACAGTACCAAATGCACAAACTGTAATATACACTATAAAAGCGTATATTATCGCATGTATAATCCACCACCACCACCCATTGATGTACTTCCTCCAGTCAAAGCTTTACTTTACCATCACAATATCCCGAAAGTATTTGTGTAATTAAAGTAAAAAGAAACATTATTTAAAAAATATAAATATTTTCTGGAAAAGAAAATCTCACACACAAATAACAAAAAAACGTAAATTAGTTACAAATAATAAACAGCAATAAAGCAAACTGATTGTTTATTGATGCTTATTGTTTTTGGTGTGAATTATACATCTCAATGATCATTCTAGACTTCTAGAGCTATTTCCTTATTTTTGCTAATTTTATATGAGAATGGGTGAAATAATTCATCATTCATGTTGATGGGTTCCAAAACTCCATTCACTATTTGTACAGTCATCATTGGGTCATTCTTTCTTCAGTATTCATCAAACATTCTAGAGGAATTCATGTAAGAGGTGACACTGAAGCAACCATAAAAAAATTGAGTTTTATCTTTTGGGGGGCTAGAGCTAATCACAATTAGCAATGATATTTTAAATTCTGATTTTTATGAATATAATAAATAATTTAGATGGAAAAACATTAACATCCACAATGAAATGTTCGATCGCATATATTCTCCATTGCCCTTTATTTGAACATAAAGAACAAGCAAAACCAAAGAAGTGCAAAATCTCAGTTCGCAAAAGTCGTGAAGAAAACCATCACTCAAAGCAAAGAAAATCGTCATGCGATTTATAACTTATTGAAATTTTCAATGTAAACGCAGTAATGAAACAAACAGGCAATAGATGTAAAACAATACAATGAATCTAGTGGATATTAAAACACCTTAATACTATTATATATTTCGAAAGAAGATTGGTACATTCTTGTGTTTTTACCGAATATTTTTATTTGCTGCATTGACGATTGCCAGCTGTCTTGTTTTTCTCAGTGAAAACTTATGTAATGTCTACTTAGTCGCATATGCAATTTCTGCGACCTTCGCCAATGCTCCCACTCAGCCACGATTTCGTTCTGTGGACCACCTTAGAAGATTCCATCCGCCCTTGAACGCTGCTCCGTCGCGCTTTCTGTGAGCAGGGCGCCAGACTGTCGGGTGCCAACGCCCTCTGCCCGCCAACGACACAATGATGATGACGTAGTGGCAACTTGTGACCCGAGTATTTGGTTCGACTTTGTCTTTGACTTATTATCTTTGACAACTCTGAGATATATTTATACCAAAAAGGTGACTATTAAATAGCTTCCGAAAGGCCGAAATACAAACGAGACTAATCACTTGAAACAAATAATTCCTTCGAACTCTTTCAAATCACTTATTATAGGATAAGTGTTGTGTCAAAAATTGTAATAACTTTTACCCACGTAGTAGATGTTATCCGAGAAAGGTTGTCGAATGTCTTTTGTCCTTGTGAGTAAAAATACTATATTATACTCGTATAGGCTGCCCTAAATAAAATCACAGACTCCTTGTCATAGGCCCCCGTTAATAAAATGTGTCAACAATATTATTCAGTGGGAAGAGTGCAGAAGAGAACAAAGTGAAAATATATCTCTAAAATGCAAAAATGTAACATTCCGAACAGCGCTGAAATGAGCTACTGGAAGAGTCTTGGGCATCATTTGGTTTTTATGTACTTTATTAGTAGTTTAAAGTAGATAAGAAAAATAATTTGTAGTTTCGAGTGCTGATGAAATCTACTGAACTTCACAGAGTGTAAAGCTTCAAAAACGCTTTACGTTACGATGTGAAAAAGGAATAAATGAAATGTGAAATCTAAGTGACATGGGCATGTGGTTGTGGATCACGCTTTGTATGCTAGTATCGTACCAGGGCGGAAGATGTCTACAGTAAACTAGTAGAGTTACAATAGCATACACTTTTAGCGCATTTTGTAACAGTTACGTTATAATAATATACCGCAATTTCTGTACATATTAACCCAACTCAGTCGTCACTTGTAAAACGCGTTACAAATCGTACAGCATTAGGGGAGAAAACTAATTATTTTGAAACTAATACATCAACATAAATTCGTCAATTCAAATCAGCGTTTTATACAGCTTTAACTATCCCCAACAATGAAAAGGAATTCTCAGAATTTCAGACTTGCCGCGGCGATGCCTATGTAATATTGCGATTTGATATATCGTGAAAGACTGTAGTGCGGGAAATTCGAATTTTGCAATTTCAATTATTCTTGGTTTTTATTTCTTGGCGCGCGAGGCCTTGTCTTTACGATGGAATATCTCACGGTATTTCGCACCTTTGTCGGTCGGGCCACTAGATGATGCATGATCGTCAGCACTGC